CTCCGTCTCAAGCGTGTAGTCGCTATTGGGCCGACGGTGGTTCGGGTTGGGCACAATTGATTGGGCACAATGAGTTGGTACAATTGGCGCGTTAGTTTGAACCAGTTCAGACTTACATCCCCCCTCCCCGAAGGTGGATACCTTAGGTTAAGGAGGTAGGATATAAGGAATCATTTTGTTTGCGTGGTAAATATTAGACTCTCTTTTTTTGAATCCAGATTCTATGATATATAGCAGGTTTGAAATCTTCTTTTTTATCTTGAAAGGTCCTGTTCTTATGGGATCTAATTTATTTCTATTTAAACGATTATTATTCTGAATATATACGAGGTCTCTTTTTTTATATGTAATTGGGTTTGTATTTTTATCATAGTAAATTTTGTTCTGTTCGTGTATTTTCCTCGAATTTATAAATGCAATCTTTCTATTTTCCTCTAGATTTTCCAAATTGTTTTCGTTCAGCTCTGTTGGTTCAAAAGATTTGTCTATTCCGTTAAGGAGGTAACTTGGTGTAAATTTCGTCGTACTGTGAATTGTATTATTATAATCTTCTATACATTGTTCCGCTATAACGCTCCACGGACGTTGTCTATTCTCGTAGATTTTGCAACGCATCGAGTTTACCAGAGTCTGGTTCGTTCTTTCGTTCTGCCCGTTAGAGAATGGACAGTCTACAGCTGTGAATATACATGTTATGTTTTCTGATCTTAAATATTTTTTGAAATCTTGCGAATTAATTCCGGAATATTGATCTGTTAAGAGGATTTCTATTTTACCTTTTTTTGTGATGTTTTTGACTAATTTTATGAAATCTTTCCCTGTTTGTGTTTTTGATGTCAAGGCAAACGCATATTTCGTGAAGTGGTCGATAATCAGGTGTAGATATTTTTTTGGTGATTTGTTGCCTCCAAATCCTCCTACTGTGTCCAAAGATATTATCTGGAATGGTTTTTTTGCTGGTCCTATTTGCGACATCGGTTGTTTAAAATTTCCAAAACGGGTTTTATTTCTTACGCACGTATCACATGCTCGACAAACACTTTTTATGTGTTTATGCATGTTTTTAAAGTAGTATCTTGGGGTCAACGTTAATGTAAGTTGTTTTACCCCTATATGGTTGTTTTGATGCAATTTTTTTATAAAATTAATTCCTAAATCTTCCGTTATCCATATTTTCTTCTTATTGTTCAAAATTTTATAATAAATCTCATTTTCTGTGATGCAGTTTTCATCTTTAGTGTTTAATCGCTTTTGATTTTCTTTTATCTCATTTAGAGTCGTGAAGTTAATTATTTTTATTGCAGATTCACAATCGTCGTCATTTTCCAGGACCGGATTACGTGAGAGACTATCGGCTTCTGTGTTTTCTTGACCAGGGTTATACTTAATCTCAAATTCGAAGTTAGATATATAATTTAACATTGCTTTCAGTTCTATATCATTACAATTTTTTATATTAAAATTTTCAAGGGGTTTATGGTCCGAAAATATTATGAATTTTCTTCCTATCAAATGGTACTGCCAGTATAGGATTGCCTCTTTAATTGCCAGACATTCTAAGAATATTGCCTTTTTTCTTTTCTGCGGTTCTGTTAACTTTTTTGAAAAATAAAATACATCTTTTATTGTACCATCTTCTTGTGGTTGCTTTAGAATTGCTCCCATTCCTTTTATAGATGCATCTGTGAAGATGTATACTGGACGGTTTTGGTCGAAAATTGCAAGTATGGGAGCAGCGCATAAATACTCTTTAATTTCATTGAAGCTTTTGTCACACTTCTGTGACCATTCAAATAATATGTTCTTCCTTAACAGATTATGTAACGGCTCTAATTTATTAGTCGCATTTGGTATGAATTTTAAATGGAAATTAATCTTTCCCAAAAATTGTCTAACATTCTTTTGGTTTTGTGGTGTAGGAAATTTTCTTATTGCGATAAGATTATCCTTCATTGGTCTTATTTCATTGTTCTCTATTTCATGTCCTAAATAAATTACTTTATTTTTTGCAAATGAACATTTCTGCAAATTCAATTTAAAACCCGCTTTTTTTAGTGCCGTCAGGGTTTTATTCACATGGCTTAGGTGTTCTGACATAGATTTAGAGAATATCAATATGTCATCGATATAGTTTATTGTAAATGTATTTAACCCGTATTTGAAAAGTATGCCATTTAAAATTCTTTGAAAAATCGCCGGGGATGATTTCAATCCGAACGGGAGGCACGACCATTGCCAGTGTCCGTTGTGCGTGATGAACGCTGTTTTTTCTCTGTCTTTTTTCCTGATTGGTATCGACCAAAACGCCGAATTTATGTCCAATTTTGTGAAAAATGTGCAGTCACGCACCAACAGCATTAAGTCGTCAATTATCGGAAAAGGTTGGCTTTCTGGTATTACTATTTTATTTAATTCACGATAATCTATACATAATCGTGATTTTCTTCCTTCTTCTCTCTTAAATACAAGAGTTACTGGTGCGGCAAACGGGCTCGTTGATTGTTCTATCAGACCCGCTTTTAATAAGCTTTTCACTTGATCGTCTATCTCCTGTTTGTCCTGTAATGAACACTTGTACGGCTTTTTAGCAATATATTTATTTTGGGTTAATTTTATTGTGGCCTCAAAGTTTTTAACTGTGCCGATATCGAATTTATTTTTCGCAAAGGTGTCTTCATGCTCCTTTAATATCTCTTTCAAATTTATTGGTCTCTTATTTTCTTCTTTTGTCGTAATATTTATTATTATCTCTTTGCCTAATTTTTTTTCTGATTTTTCATTTTGGAAAATTTTTAAATTTTCATCTTGGCATAATCTGAATTCTTTGATAATATCTAAGCCAAGGAGAATATCGTCTAAAAATGCATTATTCTTTACTACAAACAGAAAGCATTTTTTTGTTCTATTAAAAATTTTCAAGGGGATAATTATTGATCCCATTGTTTTTGTCATACCAGATATAGTTTTAATTGTCTTCACCCCACTTATATTTTTAGCTAACCCTAACCTCTGAATGAAGTCATGGTTTACTAATGATACATTAACTCCTGAATCATATAAACCAATTGCTGGTTTGTCTGCAGCTAAAATCTTCAGTTTTATGAGTGGGGTGGTTAATCGTTTTTTGCATCTTCTGATAGGGACACACTGTCCTGGATTTCAGAGTTATTTATTATCTTGATTTGTTCGTTTTTGTATTTTCCCTTCACTTCGGAATTTTTCAGCCTACAGTTTTGTTCTGGGTGGTATCTGTTTGGGAAGCCTCTCTCTATACAATGTGGGCATGGTTTTTTTACTAATCCATCATTTACATTTTTATTTTTCATATTTATCGCACTTTGGTTTTTTTCTTTGCCTATATTTAAATGTTCCAATTGTCTTATAGTGGACATTAATTTGTCTATAGAATCTATTTCCTTTTTAGTAATACGAGATCTCACTTGTGCTGGGAGTCCTAATACTATGAAATTAATTTGGCTGCTTTCAGTAAGATCTGTGTCGGCATCTAAAAGGAGGTTTCTCTTTTTTAGGGCATAGTCTAACAAGGGACCATTCATGTGTTTGAATGTGTATGCATAATTTATTTCTGACCAACTACGTTCAGAAAAGGTTTTCAAAAAGGATGTCTCCCATAGTTCCCACGGATAAATAAGACCTTCAGTTTTCAATACGGCAAGATACCAATCTAATGCTGGACCCTCTACAAATAATTTAAATGTCTCCGGGAATTTCTCCTCTTCTATTTGTACGCGTTCACTTTCTTGTTTAAATAGTTTTACAAAAGTTTTGGCATCTTGATTTTTTCCTGTGAATTTCGTTAGCACCATGTCTTTTGCCTTCGAGTGAATTGATTTTTGTTGGAGGGGTGCGGATGTGGATGGGGGATTCGGGTAATTATCAGTCTGAACTTCATCCAAATATAACTCACCATAGCACACATTTCCCTCGTCATCCAGGTATTTTCCTTCCAATCCGCCCTTTAAAGATATTTTTATTCTTCTAAATTGTCCTCTTGACTTTAGGCTCTTAGCTGCATTCTTTACAATGTTGGTTGCGAACAGTTCTTGATGGTGTTCCTTCAGTTGAAGCTCTTCTGGAAACTTGTAAAGTGTTTCTTCTGTTTCTAGTTGAATTGTTTTAACCTTTATAGTTGAAGTCTTTGCATCTCTTCCTTCCAAACAAAAGTGAAATATTGCTTTTGTCATCCTGTTGTTGATTTGTAGATCAATTCCCTTACATTCTATGGAGAATCCAGGCTAAATAATTGGAGTACGGATGTTGATGCTAGTTAACACTGCAATTTATTGAAATTAAGGTTATGACTTATCATGTATATACATCATGCATATGCATGTCCATAAAGCCTTTTTTACAATCTCGGGTTACCTGAATCAACAACATGTATACAATCTTCTAGTTATAATTCTCACAGGTGAATCCCGT